CTGCATGGAGAGGGAGGGAGCACCTGGGCTGGCTCTGCATGGAGAGGGAGTGAGCACCTGGGCTAGGCTTGGCTTTTCCTTAGAGACACAGAGAAAACCTGTCTGCTCTCCTGCTCAAATGTGAACATTGCTTAGAACACACCCTGCACTCTGGCACACAGTAAGCATTGGTTGGTGTTTTGTTTTGGTCTTGTTTTTCCTATGTAGCCTAGGCTGGCCTCAAATTTATAGTGATTTTCCTGCCTCTGCCTCTTGAGTCCTGGGATTATAGGCATGAGCCACCACATCTGGCTTTGGCTTCTTTGGCTAATTAACAGTTTTGGAGCAACTACCTCTGACGATAAAGCAGGTTAGCAAAAGAAGCTATAAAGTGTCTTCCCCTTAAAATAAATCAACTCCAGGATATAGTCATGTTAAGAGACTGAGGGATGAGACTAACGACCTGTCTTCCACAGCAGTGTCTTTTTGATTATGATCTTGAATGAGAAGACACTAGCCAACTATTTTACCAGTAATTTAAATGTGTAAGGTGAGTAAGGGGAACCTTCCTTCAGAGGTCTGTTTCACAGGATGCCAAGGAGGAACACACAGGCAGGGCAATTCCCGACTTGAACATGTCAGGTTCTAGTGTTTGCTGGGATAAGACAGGGGCCTGGCATTGAACATGGACAGACACTGGCATTGGTTTTAAGATCACTAGTGCCAGTGTGGGACTTGAGGAGAGGTCATTGCTCAGGATGGATCATGTTGTTGATGCCACACAGGAAAAAGACGGTCAGAAGGCCTGAGATGGAGACTGGGCAGAGGCCAGGTGTGGGAGCACCATCTTTGTTTCAGATTGTTCTTGCTGTCATCTTGTACCAATAAACCCACAAAATGCCCTCCTGACAATGTGCCCCATTGCTTTGCAAGGGGTCCAGTGGACCTGTTGTGGGCAAGGCTCTGGAATTGAAGCAAACAGGTAGAACACCAGACCAGGAAGTAACTTCCCTCCAAGGTGATGTAAACAATTTCCTTCTGGGGAAGAAGGAAGTTACAGGAAGAGCCTGAGCCATGGAGTGGTTTGTATGCGAGAGGATTTGCCTGGCTCAGTGCTCTTAAATGAAGGCTAGTCCAATGCAGTGACTTGAGAAACAGAAGGATTTACTAAAAAAGAAATCCATTTCTCTACCACGGCCTTCCATGATCTCAACTCCTACAGCAGAGCTTGAGGCTTATGAACACAGTACTTCTCAGAGGATCCAAGAAATCACAAGCTCAGAGCTCATGTGTGAACTCTTCATGAAACGCGTATGGTTCTGCATGGTTCTACACAAAGCCCACATAGTCCCGCACAAAGCCTCCGTGGTTTGAGATCAAGGCTGAGATCCTTAGTAGGCCCAATTCTGAGAGCAAGACTACAGCTTTGTCCAGTTACACCTCAGGAAAAGCCCACACGTTCTGTAACTACTTACAAACACTTGGCCAAGCTTCTTTTCATGGTAGCTAAGGAGCCCAGCTTTGCTTGGGAAGAGCCCACTCAGGCCTAGTAAGCGGGTAGGCAGGTGGGCTCCCACAGAGGATTTGACTTGGAGCCCACCTCAGCTCATCTATTAATGGGCTGCTCATCATTCTTAAGCTTTCAGTATTAGCAGCATGGACGACTTCATGAGATGCTATGAAGTCAGTCATGCTAAACTCTAAGTCTCTGTCCACCCTGCCCACAAAGCAGGAAGGGGCCATTTGGAACGGGTTATGGGGTAGTCCAAGAGTTCTGAAAAGCAAACACAATAAAGCAAAGAAGGGAAAGCAAATGCTACACTGATAACCCCAAGAATACCTAACATCATTTAGAGATGGAGCTCAAAATGAGACCTTGGTGATTCACTGTTTTCAGATGAGAAGTGCTAGCTACTGGAAAAGACCAAGCCCTGGACTGCAAATACCCTGCTGAGCAGGAAGCTTGTGGTCCTAACCATGGGAGAGGCTACCAGTGTGTACACGCTGTAAAAACTGGCAGGCTACACAATGACCAGTTTAAATGGCAGGCATTTTGAGAATGTGGCTGTGCTTTTTCTTCACCAGCATTTGGAGCTACATCACGGGACCAGGTCTACGCCTTAATGAATACCACTCATATGTGAGCATGCACCCAGAATCTAAGCCCTATATGCTAAGGACAGTGGCTGTACTTAACTTCCTACCATCATGGATTTGCACTAACATCATCCACCATAGCAAACAACAGCATTGTAATGCATATTCATACCATTAAAACCTTGATGAGCATGTTAAGAAAATCCCTCCCACCCACCACCATGTGTTTTGGAGACTGTTTAGCTTTTGTTACCTTGGGGTCCATACTGGCTCATTTGTGGACCGTAAGTGCCACTTGAGTTACTCTGCTGAAAGTTACTGATTCCAGGATGCATCTGGCCCCCAGGAGAGGGGTGAGGCGACATGGATGGTCCTGCCTGCTGAGGTCCGTACTGAGACATCTGAGGGTTTCTCTGTGTACCTGCCATAAAACCTACATGGGAAACAAACAAAAACAGTCATGCAGGTGTCTTCTCATTTCTGTATACACAAAGTATGTGGAAGGTACATGGGGAGAGGATTGGTACCCTCAGATTCCCTTAAAGAAACATCCAAAGGACGCCATGGGGCAAAGAGGGAGTCAACACCACCTTCTTTGTAGATGAGCCCCAGATAGAACAATCAAAGTGGGACAACTTCTTACACCAGGCAGGGGTGGGCTTTGTGCCTTCTCTGCAGAGCACAGGTCTACAGCATCTGACCTTCCCTTGCACCCTCAGCTTCCCTCCTGACAGCTGTTCAAGTGGTCTCCTAAACAGCTGGAGCACCTGTGCCTTGCAGGGACCCCAGCCCATTTGAGTTCTGCATCTCCAGCTGAGTTTCCAACTTCCACCCTTGAATCTGCTTTGCCAGCATAGTGCTTCCCAGTGTGTGATGTCATCATAGGCCTAGAATCTGCTCTGCCATCGTAGTTCTACCCTGTGTATGACGTCATCACAGGCCCAGAATCTGCTCTGCCAGTCATAGTCCCACCCTGTGTGTGACATCATCACAGGCCCAGATGCTTCTGTGAGCAATGCCCTGTCTCTGTCACACACTGGATCCTTCAGCCTGCCTTGATGACTATGGAGACACCGTGAATGGCTCATCTCTTCAGTCCTATTTCTGCAAAGCCTAGTCCCAGCTATTGGTCTCAGTACTCTCAAGCCCCTCCTCTTACAAAGCTGTAAGAGTGACTTTTAGGACTAAAGAGTGGTATCAGACACATCCTTCACTTGCATAGAGCCCTTCACAGCTTTCCACGGCACTGAGGCCTGCAACACAACTGTGTCTGCTGGGGGCCCCTGCCACAGCTCCTCTCCCTTTGCTGTAATGTCTATCCACTGGCCTTCTTGTCCTCCCAGAAGATGACATCAAGCACTGTCCTTCAACAAAATCTGTTCTGTCCTGTCCCTGTTCCTTAGATGTCACCTGCTCAGTTCTCCTACTGCTTTCCCTGACTGCCCAACCTCAAGTTGGGCCACCTTTACCACAGCTCTCTCAGATGCCTTCAAAGTACTTTTCATACCTTCTACATGCTGCATCATTATTATTTCTACATGTGTATGTAGCGTGTGCATGCATGTTCCCGTGTGTGGGTGCACCTGTCTGCACATGCATGTGAAGGGCTGAAGTTGACACTGGGTGTCTTCTACCACTCTCAACCATATTTACTGAGGCGGTGTGTCTTGCTGAACCCAGAGCTTGCCAGTTCCAGCTAGTTCAGCTTGCCAGCATGCTCAGGGTTCCAGCCTCTGCCTGAGTGGGGATTCGAGAGAGGTGCCACATTTGCCTGGCTTTTATGTGTGTCCTGGTGCCCAGGTACATCTCCACGCCTGGACGGAAAGCATCATGTATGTTCTGATGCCCAGGTACATACATCTCCATGCCTGGACGGAAAGCATCATGTATGTTCTGATGCCCAGGTGCCCAGGTACATCTCCATGCCTGGACGGAAAGCATCAAGGTGCCATTCTCCAGCCACCTTTTTAACTTGCTTATTCCTTTTCTTCCTCACTAAGAAATGTAACACACACAAAACAAAAATCACATCTCACTCAATGCTTCAGCCTAAGTGTCTTGCAGAGTGGACGGCGCATGGGATGAGCGTCTCCCTATGTAGGCTGGACCCTCCTGGACAGTGTGCATGTGGCGTGCTCCTTCTTCTTCCACCTCCCAGTAGCACCACACGAAACCCAAACTGCGTTTTGAATAACTAGATGGACATCCAAGCTGCTGCAGAGCATAACACAGTAGGTACTTGACAAATAGGTATTTTAAATGCACCTAGAAAACATGCATTTAAATTATGCAGAAATACAATGTTAGAAATACCCACTGGAGTAGCCAAGGCCAACAGAAGTGTGTGTTCAGAGTAGCACACTGACAAAAGGTCTTGATAGCAAGAGTGTTGGGTGAGAATTCTCATGTTTCTCAGTGGAGGCTCTGGCTGGGGAGAGGCAGTTATGCCTGTTCAGAACTGAACCCAGAGTGGAGCCTCGGCAGCTGCAGGGAGAGACAGGCCTGCAGGAAGGCAGTGTAAGTGTGGGAAAGCAATGCTCTCAAGTGACAGAGACCACAGTTTACATTTCCTAAGAACAAAATGAGACCTTCTAACAGCTCCTGCCTAAAGAGACACAAAGTAAAGGCAAAGAGAGCTACGTCTTATTACCCTATTTAATTTATTTATAAAAAGAAATCTTATGAAATTGGGCTCAATTGGCAGCTCCTGGCTAGAAATCATCAGAGAAAATGTTTGCTTTGCCAGTCTGAAAACAGGCGCTCGGGAATCAGCACACTAACATTTCTCTACATGACTGCATTTTCAGATGTCACACAAAATCCTCCAGGTTTTCAGACAGCATCCTGGCTAATCGAAAAGGCACTTCATTCAGCTCGACAGGGATTGTGTGCGACTGCTTCCCTCGTGGCTGCTTAGAACTGCAACACAGACCCTTTAGCATTAGACTGTCCCTCAACTGTGAAGGTGTTGGTGTTCAACCCCAGAAGAAGCCATCACTCCTTCATTTGTCTCGGCAATCTCCCACTGGCTGTATTGGGCTGGGGTTAGAAGGCCTGGTCCTGGGGTTATGTCTTCAGTTCAGAATCTAGCTGGAGAGTCAGTTAATGTATTGCAGTGCTCATTCGGTGTAACTTGTGACTTTGCATAATGTTGTTTCCTCTTAAAATGAATACTCCTGTAAGCCTCAACAGAGTCAGCTTGGGGTTGTTCTGTAATATGAAAGGTAAATTTCTGGTTTATACAAGAATGCCTTCGGTTCTTGGATGCTCCATCACTCAGACGCAGTCTCCAGTTACAAAGAATATGCTGGCGTTTACTTCTGGGCCTGCTTCACTTTACTGTTTGAAATCTGCATCACCTGGGCACTTAGCTGTGCACAGTCCAAGGGGTGTGAGAGAGGCATGTCCTGGGAAGCAAGGCATGCGTTCCCCTTCCCACCAGAGTCCCTTGCTAAGGCAGCCACAGCTTCAGTGCGTTCTTCTGCAGGTGCTCTACAGTGTGTGGTTGTGAATACTGTTCAAGGCTCCTTTGAGTTTGGTTCTGGAATTCTCTGCTCCTGTCATTTGTACACATCGGTTATGGTCTTCTGACCAGTCTCCTGCACACAGCAGTAAACTCCTAACTGCACAGGGCTTACAGCCTGCCCTGTAGAGGCTCACACAGTGACATCTAATACATACTCATAGCTAAGCACCACTACTACTAAAGAACACTTCTAGTTGTTTTTTTCTCCCCTGCAGAGATGGGAATAGGAGCTGTGGCCTTGTGCGTGATAGGCATACACTACTAGCTACACTGCAAGTTCCCGAGACTTCCAGTTTTTAAACAGTTGTGGAACGTTGAAATAATCTTCTAAAAAGATTGGTGAAAAGTGACACACAAGTTGCTTGGAAAAGAGGTATTTCTACTCTGTATAAACATAGAAACAACATACACACATGTTCATTATTTGTTTCCTTATTTATGTAGTGGGGACAATTTTATTTGCCTCACAGACGTGCTGTGAGTGAAAAGAATGTCACCATAAAAAGATCTAGCACCATCAGTTCCCAATAAATACCACTAAGAGCAACTTGCCTTACCCCAAGTGGTCAGCAGGAGGGCCTGGGCCATAGCAGCATGGCTCAGGGTCAAGGTCTGTTGTGTAGATGCCAACTAGACTATTAAGCTCCCCTTTTCATCTTAGGGGGCTTGATAGTGGCCCCACACACCAGCTCTAGTTAGCTCTCTATCAATTCCAGTCAGACATTCATTTTTCTCCCGCAGGGTGGGGGTGGGCTGGGGGTGGACTCAACATGTCTGTAATTTCTTTGGAATTGGTCCTTTAATTGTTTTGTTATTTTAAATCTTTATTGAGTGGAATGGGCACTGTAAGCATTTCTTCTCCTTCCAAAGGGGAAAAAAAATTCAAATTCCAATAAAAGTGTTTCTGCCTATTTATGGTGTTAGTATTTATTTGCCTGTGTTTTGCTTTTAGGAAGTTTATGGAGTGGTAGTTAGTGACAGTGGAGAGGAGACAATCTGACAGCTGAGAGGACACAGCTGCACTTGTACAAGGTGTGAAGTGTCACTAGTTAGAAGCCAAACTTTCCAGCAAGGGAAGCTTAGTGAGTGCAGGATGAAAGGCCTCTGTAACAAGTTGCTGTATGCAGTAAGAATTCCATGTTCCAAGCAAATATCTAGCAGGAGAGAATTGACATTTGGGACAAAGTACTAGATGAGGTAGTTATTCATAGTATATAGGACAACGTTTCTTAGGAACTCCACAGGAAGATATAATTTATGTATTACTCTCTCTCTCTCTCTCTCTCTCTCTCTCTTTCTCTCTCTCTCACTCTCTCTTTCTCTCTCTCTCACACACACACACACTCTCTCTCTCACACAGTTTCCTAAGTAAATGTACTGCCTCTGAACCTGCACCACTTCTACCTTCCTCATAAACACCTTTCTCACACTGCAAATGAGGACAGCGTGTTTTTGACATGAAAATCATGGCTTCAGGAGGGAGAAATCTGAGCAGGTCAGGAAAGATGCTCACCCTCGGACCTGCCTCTGCCACAGATGACTGTGAGCAGGTCAGCACTTCTTTCCCTGGGCTACAGGGACATTCTGAGAGTCAAGTAAGGAAGGTGAACACAGGAGCACACCTCAGTGCAAGGATGCTGTACAAGACATCTTCAGTGCCGGGGAGCCCTATGGATGCTATAAAAGCATCTCTATTGCCTGACTTCGAGTCTATGAACCCTCTATTCACAGTGTGAACACCAACCTAAGCCACCAAGCTGGTATCCAGGTTGGTGACCACATTACACAATCTACCTACAGGCCCCATTCTACTCTATCCTTCATCAACTGAAGAAGAAGAAAAATAACTTTTGTTTTGTTTTGTTTTGTTTTTCGAGACAGGGTTTCTCTGTGTAGCTTTGGAGCCT